AAAATGGGTAAGCCAGTGAATCTATACTAATATTATAAAGAGGTAAGTTTGTATGTAGGGGTTAGTCTTTGGAACCAGTGTTCAGGTTGCCAAAATTCTTTCACTGATAGATAGCTACAATGTTCCTGAGTGCTATAGGCTACCAAACATCACGCTAGGATAAAAGCCGAGCAGCGGGTGAAACAGCGCGAGAGTAGCTAGTGTAAGATATAAATTAGACATATTGTTACAACTGCAAATAGATTGGAATAGTGGCAGAAGAGGAGATAAAGAAGAAACGAGAGTAAGAAAAGATAGGCTAAGGTAATTTTGTAATATACGAAGAGATTTGATTAAGAAGTAAGTAAGAAACAACTAATAAATCAATGACTGATTACAATACCACAGCAAACGTAATTATGTCATTCGAAGCAATGTAATCGTCATTTAATTGTATTTTAATGTAACCAAAGCGACACAGTCTCATTTATCATTCTATTAATTAGGCAAGTACCGGCTAGGGCGCATACCTACTTTTAAATTATTTTCACTATTCATTTCAAGAGATAAAACTACTTTTTAATACTAGGGGATTAAGCATACGGTACTACTTAAAGTTATGCTTTGATTTTATATAAAAAAAACTGTTAGTATCTTACCAAGATGTCTATGACCTAAAAAAATCAACGGTGCTCAGTTAATTTTATTATGTGACAAAAAGTAAGCTATAGATAAATGAAGTATAGCCTATTCATAGAACGAAAACATTTTTGTTTATCATAATTATATCTCATTCTTTTTACTTTCGTTTTCTTTAGCTTGTAAATGATTTCTTATTTCAGTAATCTTTAAAACAAATAAATACTACAAAACAAAAAAAAATCAAATCATTAACGACATTAATAAGCAAAACTGAACAACCCCGAATGAACACGTAACAACCGCAAAACGTGTAAACAAACACGAATGAGTTATGAAAGTTCTCGTGCATATTACATGTGATATTTATCCGGCTAAATTCTATAATTTATTAAACAGGAACCAACATTCGGAGGTCCCATGACCGGCTCAAACCGGCTTAACGTATTCCACGAAGGTCGAAGGGGCAGTGTTTTGAACCCCCGATTCTTATACAGATGTTAAACCAGATACCAACAATGAAATGACATTATTATCTTGTAATTTTGGAGATCCAGATACTTGGTGCATGGAATTTGGACAACAATGGCATATTGTCTTCAATTTGCTGGACCAGTAATGTTTCTTTGCAACCCTTAGGGCCAAATTTCTTTGGGATAATTCGGGGTCTAACTGGTGTCTAGATCAACCGAGACGTCGAACATCTGATAGTGCAAATGGTTGCAGAGTAAGTAGGGAATTATGTCAATTGATACAAATGAATATTTTTTTTGTGATGGTAAAATCATCAAATGACTTGGGAGTGTCAGACTAAAAACCTCCCCTTTGTTTCTCCTGGTCTAGGCTGAGGCCGCGAAGCCTTATTGCGTCTGTCCGGCAATCCCGAAAGTTAATGTCAGCGTAGTCGGTGATTTGGTGGCAAAATGGTTGTATTTCGTTGTGCAAGCAAATTGATAGCATACGACTCTGGGCTGTTATCACTACATCGTATAAAACAAAGTCGCTTTCTGTCCCCATATCCCTATGTATGCTTAAATCTTTAAAACTACGCAACGGGTTTTGATGCGGTTTTTGCGAAGTGACGAAGAGAAATCTTTATATGTATCAAATGTACAAGTGGGAAGCCGGGGCGGGTCGCTAGTAACTATGCCCTAAAACTCGCCCTACAGCTTTAAAGTAGTGTTGCCCAAATTCAGTCTTGGTCTTGCAGTCTTGGTCTTGTTCTTGCGTTTTTGCAAGACCAAGACCAAGAACAAGACCCCGAATTTTTAGCAAGACCAAGACCGACCGTGCAAGACTTGAGCAAGAACAAGACTTAGCCTGCAAGACTCTTGCGTCTTGCAGCTAGGACTTAGCGCTATTTCACTGAGTAGTTAGGTGTACCTAACAGTTCGGTGTATAGGTAGGTACAGTTAGGAATTCTATGAGACGCAAAAAACTGTATCAAAGAAATATGAAAATATAAAATATGAAAAACTGGACCTATGCTCATTACGACTAATACCATAAACATAGCGAATAAAAAAATATCTATTAAAATCAAACTGAGTGCATGCATAGTTATGTTTTAACCATCGGCACTTTGATAATGCGGCATCAAAGGTTTTGTACTTACTTCTCAAAGAAATTTGCCGCTTTTCGGAAGTACATGGTTATGATACACGCGCCGGCTTCGCGGCTTCTTTTGAAATCTAAAACAATCGTTGCCGCCACCCCAAAATCATAACATTTGACACTATTTGATTGCCGCCATAGGTAAACTCATGCAAAATAATTTCGAATTTTAAGAGCACCTACAGGTGTTCCTAGACTAATGAAGTTTCAGAGTGCTTAGAATGAAAATGAATACATTATACTGATCACGCAAGTAGTATTATGATTAGGATAAAATGGTAAGTATAGGTAGTAGATGTCATATTATTTCATTCTAGTAAGTATATATTATAATATTGATTACTTATATGGTTTTAAACTAATTACTTAGGTACTATTATTGTACATTTAGTCATTATATTTCTTAAGATTTTACAAGAAAAAATAACAAAAAAGTGTTCAAATATCACCCGTTTAATAAATATTGTAGCCACTTTTAAATATACTTGAAACTGCTGAGAGGTTATTTTCTAAAGCATCATTAGTAATTAGTAATTAGAAAACATAGAAATAGGTTAAGTGATGAGTCAGCCAGATGGTTACTTTGTATTAATTCTTGGTCAAAAAAAATTGATATAAAGTATCATAACCTAATGATAAAGCTGTTGATTTGTGTTGTATTTTATTTTTTATTCAAATAAATGATAAATTGTAAAACTCTTTTATTAAATTTCTTGTAACTTGAGGGTTCAATCTCTTTCTAGACAGATAAGTATTGTTCTTTAAAATACAGTCAAGTTATTGTAATTAATTTGTTTTTTTACATGTTTTAGCAAATGTAAGCTTATAAATCATAAATGTTTATTAAGAAACAGTTACTTCCATGGAAAACGACATCAGTAGATTTTTCGAATTTCTTATCAAATATTCAGTTATTTATTTATCTGCTTGATCTTTACTATGGCTATGTTAATTCAAGTACACAATGTTCCAATTCTAATACGTTTTTCTAAGATTTAAAGTAAACTTTAATAAATAGTAATAGATTAATAGGTAATTGCAAGACTTGCAAGACTCTTGCTGCAAGACCAAGACCAAGACTGGGAGCGCAAGACCAAGACCAAGACCAAGACCAGGTGTATTGGCGCAAGACCAAGACCAAGACTGGCTAAGTCTCGTCTTGTTCTTGCATTTGGGCAACACTACTTTAAAGTAAGTGTATTACAAAACTCATAAAAAAAATTATTATTAAAAAAACAAAATACCCGACTGCACACTAAAAAAAGAGTAAAACAAGCCCCACAATACAAATTTACTGAATATAATTTATAAATGTTGATGGAAAGCATCGCAGGCGGGGACCAACAGAGGCTTATTTATAGTCATTTCTGTTGTGCACCATTTAGCAGAATTTTCGTTGGTGGCGGTCAAGGTGGTCCCCGCCTGCGATGCTTTCCATCAACATTTATAAATTATATTCAGTAAATTTGTATTGTGGGGCTTGTTTTACTCTTTTTTTAGTGTGCAGTCGGGTATTTTGTTTTTTTAATAATAATTTTTTTTATTTATAACTTTTTAGCTGTATGCCAGGCCACGCCCTATCTTTTTGCTTGCTAACGCATGAGTTGCTTTGCGTTGACGCAGAATTAACATGTTCCCGTGGGAATTTTGAGAACAAAACGTATCCTATATTAATTACTCCCGTGATTGAAATGAATCTAATGATACCGCATACATATTTTTTTAAAGGGAAATTTAGAAAAAATATTATTATGTCTTTATCCCGTGGGAATTTTAGGATAAAATGTATCCTATGACACTCCCGTAATCAAGACAAATCTAACGATACCTCATACATCAAAATCCATCAAGCCGTTTAGGCTACAGGAGGTCACAAAGGAAAAGACATACATACATACTTACATACACTCGAAAAACATTACCCTCCTTCTTTGGCAGTCGGGTAAAAACTCTCACAAGTTTTGTCTTGCTACGAAAAAATATCGTAATAACAAATCCGATATAACAAGTTACATAAGTCTATTTTTGTCGCAATACTTTTAGAAGGAAAATAAATTTTCCTTATTTACAACTGGAGAAGTTATATATTTTCCAAAGTTTCCTCTCTCATTTTTCTGATCCGAATTGGAGACTCTTCAATGATTTCTACTTCTCATCCGTAGCCTAAGAAAGCAATCGAAATCTACACAAAATAATGATAAAAATAGGCGTCAGTCCTTAAAAAGATGATATGGATTTATCTGTTATATAAACTAAAATCCTTTAGAAAACCGAAAAAACTATTTATGTATTATTTTACGCATTAATTTCACTGCACTGGCAGGTCATCTAGTTTTTTTCGCTAATCTGACGATAATAGCAGTTCAAGAACATTATTGAAACTAGATTTTTCTTAAAAGTGAAACAATTGACAACTCTACGTTGTGAACTATAAGAATTGAGGCGTTAAATCGACTCTGCTACTAAGTATTACACTGAAAAATTCTGATCTAGTGACAGAACAAATAATATATAAAAGAAGATAACAATGTCCACACCAAGATTTTCTCCTGCGTCTTTTGTCTTCCGAAACAATTTATAGATAACATCCAAACGTGAAACAAAAATTGGCAAACAAAAATTTTCCATGTGGGAATCTGACTGAGGACACTTTTACAGCAGAATCTCATTGTTCTACCAACCATATTCTTTGTGAAGGCTTCTCAAAGCCTTCTAGACTTTTCGAAGTGCCTGTAGTTGGGCTAATAGAAATAAATGCTATGACTTACCTCAAATTGAGCGCTAAATGTTTTGAAGACACCTTCCCAGAGGCTTCCTGACTGGGTGAGCACCTGCACGATGTCGCCGACGTGCGACGTCGCTGCGTGCATGAAGTGCGCGTTATTGTACACGCCTTCTGGCACCACGCGCCCTCGTGGTGACCTGCCACAACAAAAACAATCTTCAATTTCCTGTAATACCATGCATGAGGATATAGAAGAATCTTTTCAATTGTAAATTACGATAAACCACCGAGAGCCTGGCAGCAAGCATCCTCTAAAGGAACTTTTGGAGACTTAACTCTGATCTTCAAGTTGCTTGCCAAAGACTGGGGCAAACAGAAGGACATGTATGTTTACATTGTTTGACGTTTTTATGAATTCAAATAATAGTGTTCTCGTAGAAGAGCAGAAACTATTATGATGATAATATTATCAATATTATATTCAGAAAACCAGTATCTAGCGTGCTTCGAATCATGTGATTTCAGTAACATTCACTAGTCGGTCACTGACCTACAAGAAAACCGCCGCCCTTGAGTTTTTTCGGCGCGCAGTCTTTTCGCATCAGGTTCGTTCGTTGCGCGTCTCAAAAACGGTTACATCATCCCACTTGAGTTATAAATTAACTAGGAAAATGGCGCCAACGTATAGGTGTAACGCGTTGTTTAGACATGATTAACCTCATTATTTTAGATAAAAAAAGTTAAGCAGACAAATTATGTTAAAACGCATCGATTTTTAGTTAAACTACCGTTAAAATATCGCATTAAAATTGATACGTTCTAGTTTTTATTGCGATTTTCCCGCAGTCGTATTCTTAGATATCCATGTACGATTAATTCAGAAAAAAAAGTATTAAGACATTTATTAAACTTATGTGGCTAAGTTACGACTAGTTGTTGTGAACGGATCATCATTCATGTCACATCCGTTCCGTCCTTGGAAAGCACGTAAACCAGTCGGTTACAATTATTGTTATAATAATATATTCTAACATAGTTCCTTAAGCAAGGTAATAGAATTACGTAATTTTTTGCGATCAAACCAGACGACATATTTATAGGTTTCATAACTCATAATGTATTATTATTATAACTTTCGTGAGACATTCTAAATTAATTACTATGTTTTCGGCTACCTCACGTAATAATTTGACGAGATACTCGACTAGTTTCAAGCCATGCTAGAGGCCCATCTCTAGCATGGCTTGAAACTAGTCGAGTATCTCGTCAAATTATTACGTGAGTAAGCCGAAAACATAATAATTAATTCATAATGTATTAATTGTAAATTTAGTAGGTCGGAGAGGCTTTTATAGATCAACGAAATAGCTTAGCTACGAATACTTAGATATCTAGTGTTGCTAAATATCGATGTAATATTGGTCACGTAACGTTATCTAGACTATCAGACAAATAATAACATGTAGCAGTTTATAGCTTCTACGTTGACTTTCACTGTTCAACTGTGTCTCGGTGTTTATAAATACAACTTTCCCAAGAAACATTCTATGATACAATATTGTGTTCAGCTCTTTGTTTTGTAACTATTAATGAATTTTGTGACCTACAGAAATTAATTTATTTTGTTTATGCTATCCCTAGATTGAATCTAGTTCGAAACACACATAAAAGTCGTGAGCTCACTAAACGCGGTAAAAAAAGCACCCAAAAACACGTTTTCCTTAGTTATTGACAAAAAATGGATTTTTGACATTATATTAGCAGAAAAATCCATCATGACCTGATGACTCCTCTACAACTCAAAATCATCATCTTCCTGCCTGTTAATTACCGAAGTAATCGTTGATCTGTTGTAGCTAATAATAGGGTTGAAATTAAACCACTTATTATGCTTGAACTGCTGGTTCGTATATTTGCACTGAATATGAACTATGGATGTGAACTGTGAAATCTGAACTGATTTGAACTATGAATCCGAACTCTAATAACAAACTAAATTACACTCGTAGAGTATTAGCTGTAACGAAACCATAGCTTGAATTTAAATCGGGCAACGCCATCTATCGAGCTCTCGTTACAATAAAATATCCTTTGAACTAAACCTACATATTATTACATATCTGATGCTCTTGAACACTGCCCTTGTCCCGTTTTATTTGGGATCGGTGGTTTTTTTCTTCCATTCTGTCCTGTCACCCGTCACGCTATCACTAACTCCTCTGTCTTCCTCATTTGTCACACAATCCATCCAAATTTTCTTTGGTCTCCCTCTCCATACATCCACATTTATACTCACAACTCAAAATAAGATAGTCAAAAAGTGTCTAGGTCTATTTGTGACTACCGAAAACCCAGAATCATAAAACAAAGGTAGGTATAGTAAGTAAGTAGGTAGGTAGGTACAAAATACGACTTTGTTTTCGTCTCTGAAGCATAATGGATAGATATGAATCAGTATTGATTATGATATCAAGTGCTGGGGTGTCGTACCGAGCCAGGCACAACCAAATACGTAGGTTAAGCTGAAATAATGCATATTATTGGGACTTTAGCCACATTTTTTTTGTTAAGAGTGAATAATTCTTGAGATCTGAATGTTGAATCATTGTGGTATCACTGTTTGAGAGATGTGTCTGGGTTCAATCTACAAAAAATGGTTTGATTTAATATTCTACCGTGTACATCAACATCATAAAACACGTCGAGCTCTCCTAGACAGAGGTCTCTAAAGAATATATTTTTTTTTGTTTCACAGACCTTTTTAAATAACATAGACAGATTTTTAGGGAACAAAGGGTAACTATGGAGTTTCTTGCTCGTTCTTCTCCATAGGAATCTACACTTTGGAACGAGCAATTTGCTTCACTAGAGGACAGATATAAAGTTAAACTTTATGATATTTTTTTGCTTGACGTTCAAAAGTGCCTGTTGTCGTCTAATTGAAATAAAGAATTTGATTTGATTTGAAATCCTTCTATGGGCTCAAATTTACGCGATTTTATTACAAGTCTTGATAACATAGAGTCTATTGTTGTATGCCACCTAGACTAGAACTCACGTTTAGTTAATATCGCTACCAAAAAGGGAAAGGAAATCTGATATGATGGGCGTGTAAAACGAAAACCCGGTTTGGCATTGGTCAGTCGCACAAATAAGGTTTTATTGTAGTCTCAAGGTCAAGCATGGCAGTTATGTGCAAAACTTCAGTGGCAGTTGAAACCTTGAAATATATCCTGGATGAGTGGCGAGTGGAATAGGATTTAAAGTTAGAATATTACTAAGTTTTCTGTAACTAAAATTCGAACTTAAGAAGCCTTTTATTAATTACAGATGTACCGATAATTTTAAGCCTTTGACTGCCGACAGAAAACTGTTGAAGGCAAATCCTCCGCTAACGGAGGTCACCGGTGACCCCCATGGCGTTAACGTGTCCTATCCTACACCAAGTTTTTTAAGGGGGCCTTTTGTTTCAAAAGGAAAAAAATGACTTCTCCCGTTCTGATATAACAATACTCCAGCTGAAACACTCAAACCTTGCGTTATATCTACTCCATATCTCAGGAGAAAAGTTCATGATATTACTAGCTTTTGCCCGCTACTCCGTTCGCGTAGAATAGTGACTTTCTGTAGATTTTTGGTATAAAAAATATGCTATGTCGTTTCTCGAGTTCCAAACTACGTCTGTACCGAATTTCATTGAAATCGGTTCAGTAGTTTAGGCGTGAAGAAAAGACAGACAGAGTTACTTTCGCATTTATAATATTAGTTTGAATAAATAATTTTACTATTACCTATATAATAACGAGAAGGTCTAATACCGAATTGTTAATCTTGCAAGCGTTGTAGATGTATCATCTGTTAGCTTGTAAGATAAAACAAAATTAAATAAATAAAAAGTAAATTCTGTTCCATACATTTAGTTTTAGACATATTCCCATAAACTTGACGTATGGAACATAAAATTTTAAATTATTTAACAATATATCGTTACATACGACGTGAATATTAATGAATTACGTGACATTGTGAATAAAGTGTGCCACCAGCACTTCTGCCTACCCTTGACCTATAACAAGTACTACATCTATTCGTGATCCGCCATTGTTTTGCATGGAAACAAACAAATAGATTATAGTCATGCTGTTACTAAGGAGCTTATCAATTCTGATTTACGGAATAAAGTATTATGTAAGTACTAGCTTCCGCCCGCGACTTCACCCGTGTGGTATGTTGATAAAAAGTAGCCGTAGATCCGTCGAATCGATCGTCGTTTTAGCGTGATTGAGTTCTCGTCTTGTAATATCTAGTATTATGAATATCCAAACATCGTAACTTTCGCATTTATAATATTAGTAAGATAAAATAAGATAATTATAACACCTCGAAATCTATTTTATATTCCGGAAAAGGAAGAGACGTAATTGTTTTCATTATGTGGTTTTTTTACAACGTGGGACCTGGTTACTTGAGATCGAAACGTTTTCAGTCAGAAGTCTGACAACTCCTACGCGCTCCAAGCCCGGTCGGAAACGAAGATTCGATGATTTTTATTTAATTTCTGTAAAGACAGGTACCTACATAAATGTTAAAACTTTTTGCAATTTCTTAGGTTTTTGTATATAACTACTTCTTGTAGGTACCTATGTATGTCGCCAATTAATGGTGGGTGCTTCTCATTATTTAAAAAGTAATTACTTCCACTTAAAGGGCAATTTAAAATCACAGCTTATTATAATATGTAATCAAAGATAAGAACAACTTGTGGTGGATTGTAATGACTACGGTCCAAGATGTAATTACTGCTGCAATCAGGTAATTAGGCGGTCATTTTTACATCATATAACACATGACCTTAAAAAAATTGCTTTTATAATATTCACGAGTAAGTAATAAGTAAGTTAAGCTTTTATTAGGCATGAGTTAATAAAGGTTTAGCCAAGGGATTTTTAATTAGAGTCTTTAAAAATAATAGATTTACTATAACACACTCCATTATAATTGGTGAAATATTAAGCATATTTTTTATCTACTAGCTGATAAAGCAGGTGTGTGTGTGTGTGTGTAGTGAATATTAGTCTACACATTTATGTGTATGTTAACACCAAAGTTCATTGAACCCACTACAATACTTATACTGTATAAGCTTGTATAAAATCCACATATAGGTACTCTCAGACACATAAATAAATACTGACATGAAATAATCCACTCATTTGAAACCAAAACATTGACAGAACAACTCAAAAATCTTTACATAAACATACACAATGTTTAAAAGTAAACTTTAAGTAAGAAATTGTGTAAAAAAACTCAAGGGTTTTACATGTTTTGGGTTGAGTGTTATGAATGGCAGGTCATTCATAATCTACTTTATTATGCTGATAAGGCAACTGACACTTTCTATACAATGACTTGTTAATAATATTTTTGAATGACTATTCGGGAGTGTTTTACATTTAACATTGTATATTCCATACAAAACCGCTGGCCTTTAGAGAGGTATGCAGAGTAACACAATGTGTACATATACTATGTAAGACCTACTTTTCACAAGTTATGTTGCATATAAACATACTATAGATAAAGTATAGATTTAATACTATTATTATAAAGAGGTAAATACCTGTAAGTTTATATGTATGTAGGGGGTAAGCTAAGAAACTGCTGGTCAGATTTCCTAAATTCTTTTACTGATAGATAGCTTCAATGTTCCTGTGTGCTACAGGCTATAAAACATCAGCCTACACTTCTGTAGAAGTCGAGCAAAGAAAGCGAGCGAAACCGCGTAAAAGTAGCTAGTGCAATAATAATAAAAATGCAGTAACAAGTAAGCTTATTGATATATTTTTAAGAATTCTTATTACCTATTATCATATGTATATTACTGTGCCCCGCAATTTTAACAGCATAGCTTCTTAGGAGTAAAAGAAACTTAAAATTTGCAATCTAAACAAACAAATATCCAAATTGCATAGACTCCTATAATGAAATACGAAAGTTTGTAAGTATTGGTGCATGCGTTTTACACTTTCATGATAATAGCTACTCGTTGGATATGATCTAAGTACTTAGTTTATTATAATTATGGAATAACACAAGGTTACTTTTTACCCTGGAAATACTATACAGGCAGTCTGTAGAAGAAACTAGTGTAACCTAGAAGTTAATTCTTTTAAGATTAATTAGGGAGGTACCAGACATTCAATAAGGGTTATGATCCACAGACATGTACTCAGCCAACTAACAATTAAAATAATGGATGTCATTTGTTTAAATAAATAATTAGTAATAGTCTGTTAACAGGGCTATGATTATGAAATATTAACATATGACAAAAATGACAAACCTTATCAAGTATTGATAATTAATGATGTTTATTTGTTTTTATGAAAGACTAGTGAGTGTGAGTACCTAAACCAACCTACCTTGTTACCTACATACCCTATTTATATGTTCTTCTTCTGGTTCTAAACTACATCCCAACCTATTTGCAACAAAATCGGTTGAGCCGTTTTGGAGTTATAAATAGTGTAACTAACATAACTTTCTTTCATATAATATATAGATGTTGGTAGATCTATAAAACAGAGTTACAGGCACTTTGTAAACACCCACTTCTCCCAAGTTCTAAGTGTAGACATAATTCCTCCACTAATGACTATCTTAGGAAAACAAAACATCACAATGCCACCTCAGGCATCAGTGTCCAGTGTCAGCTTGCAATGTTATGAGTCCTGGGGGCAATCTTGACAAATAGGACACTTCTTCATGAGTGTAGACCTAATATACAATTTCAATTCCATCAGAACTTATTTGCTCAAGCCAAAACAAATCAGTTACATATTATCTCAAAAGAATTAATAAGTGTTATCAAAATGTACTTTTCCTATGAACATAAATGTTTTATTATTAAACTAAAAATTGGAATTACATTAGCAAAACAAATTAATGATTCCTGGAAATCTCAGATATTATTATATTTAATGATGTTTTGAAAAACTTGTAAGGCATGACATAATATTACACTTTTTAATGTTTAAAAAAGTAACCAAGCAGCATTTTATGATCTATTTATTATATAAGTAAATTGCATGATTTGTTAGTAAACACATTACTCAACAATGCCTGGATAATTATTTGTTGTTCTCTGTTATAGTCAAAAGAAAGTTCTGGCGAATGCATATTTTTGAAAAGTGGAATGGAAAATTGGACCCACTTTCATTATAAGCCATGTATGTAACCACCTGGCAAAGCAAGGGCGAGTCCTAGTTTGATACACATATAATTAAGTTGTTATAGACTGTGAAACTAACATGCAAGAGATATTCCTAAAAAAAATATTTTAAGACAGTAATCAATCATGGACAATATTTAGAAAAATTCATAAGTTAAAATCAGTGTTATCTTATCAAATGTGACCACTGCATCATGTAACCTACATAGTTCCCTCAACAGTCTTCAATTGATAAGTGTCTATGCCAGCTCTCACTTTAACTCTTAAAGATAGGTACATTCTAGAATAAAGATTAAGCTATTTTATGTTAGTATTCACTTGCATCATGTCAATCATGCAATTTCTTGATTTATGTTCTGTGGTATACAAAAAATAGGTTAAAACATGTCATTGGCTACTTGTTATGTCATATGTGTTTAAAATGATAAAGTTAATAAATTTACACAGTAGGCGAACTAATTATATTAATGAGAAAATATGCCGAATCAGTGTTTTTATTATCATTATGTCGATATTTGTTAAAGAGTGTTCAAGGTTTTGCAAAACATAAAAATATTCCACATTTTATCTAGATTCATAGACAAATTCTATAATCATTAGTCAGAAAGCAGGAAATATTCATTTCAAACAGATAATTACATGACCAACACCAGGATGTATCCATTCAACAAAAAACTTCATCATTTATGGAAAATGCATCTCATTTCAACTCATTTGTGTTGCAAATTATCATATTTTCTTAGAAAGTCAGTATTGCAATGCATAAAAATAGCTACCATAGATAGCAAATAGGACTACAAATCTACTACAGATAAGTAATGGAGTTGAGTGAAAAGATATTGCTTTGACTTTTCTTTTGCTAGAAAACAATGACTTGTACTATCTGAATTATATTTTTAAGATACCAATTCATGATAATGTCAGCAGTATTAGGGATTAAACACTATTTTTTCATAACTTTCTATTATTAATGTCCGATGCGTAAACAAATTGAAGAGAGTCATTTATGAAAAACTTTCTTTAACATACTGAAACATTTTTGTATTGTACTTTTAAAACAATATTGATAATTAAGTTATGTACTTCAAAAACATAGCACATGTCTGGAACACACCATCAACGACTGTTGTTACTTCATCAAACTCATACTGACCATGCAATTTAAGTTCATTGATAAAAGAAAACTATTATGAATCATCCATTTAACTTCCCACACAAGGCAATTCAAAGGGATTGGTTATTGTGATGATTCTATGAAATGATCTAGTTTTACTACTAACTCTTTAAAAATAGTATAGACGATATAAAATACTATCATGAACACAACAATTTTGCAACCTTCTTCATACATCAAAATTATTCAAAGCACTTTAGAAAGTGTGACCATAGCCATGCAAAAATCTATAGTGCGGGTAGCCATAAACCTCTAACATTCAAACATTCACTATTTTACATACAAATACTCACAACATTCAAGCAAATAGTAATCACCTCATGAAAATTTATCAGTCACAGTTACAATTCATATGGTACAATAACTTCAAACACAAATTAACAGCATTAAGAGAATTCTAATTAAGAACTTTGGACTTTTGCCAGTAATTATATCCACCATCGTACAAACCAGTGAAAGTGATTGAAAATAAAAGCATTTACCTTACTTCCTATTACAGAATGTTATAGAATGGCACTTCTTACACAGGCTCCACTAAGAAGATGGATGTTATAGAAAAACATCACATGAAAGTGAGTTTGCAATATTGAGCTTGGATAGCAAATTGCAGATCATAATTAGTACGGTTTGCGACTAGCGTACTGGGATCGCCAACAGCTGATCAGACGGCTATATTAATCGTATCGAGTACGGAGCAAAAGTAGGCCAAACATCTAGACTAGAGCGCCGCGACGCGCCGCATCGCACGCGCCGATCTTACACCACACAACACCGCACAATTTCATTTTTGTTTACACTGTCAGCGTATCCATGCTTAACAACCTCCTAAAATCTGTCAACGTGACAACAAAATGTTTGCTACTAGGCTCTCGGCGGACACTAGGCCCAACAACAAAGACATGTCAGCTCAATGCTTTATGATGATGGTAAATGGTAGTTACCTCGGCGGTCCTTGTCGGTTTTTGCGCTTGTTACTGTTCATGTCTCCTTCGCCTGACTGCCCCGGCGGGTAGGCACCTTCTCGTCTGCGCGTAGGGACCGGAATTTTGGCTAATTGTCACTTCTTTCTTTTACAACACAGTCCTTTCAACTTTCGCGGATGCACAAAAATGCAGTAGTTTTAGGAATTAGCACTTAAAATGCGATGACAGGGATGCATCTATTCCACTAAAGTTGTTTGACATTTGCCAACAAATATAAATTAAAATATATTTGAGTACAAAATCGCAGTTCGATTTATTCTCGGGAACTAATCCCGGAAAATAAACGGGTTGGCAGATTTCTCGTGCCTGCAATCAGCGCAGGAATACAACATGGCGCTGTGACGTATTCATTAGGCGAATTGCAAATTGTATAAACGCACTTGTTTGAGTTCAAATTACAACAAATATATCACTAAATATGTAAGAAAATTTTAGAATAACTTTTTAAATTAATATCGTCACTCAATAAATAGAAATAACTAATAGGGTCAGCGTTTGACCGACTTCCCACTTAGAACTTTCAATATGGCGTACAGGTATTTGACTTTTGGTGTTGCCAATTTAACAAATAAAAAACAAATTGAGTTAGAGGAGTATACCGATAAATATTTGCTAGTTAATAATTATATATGTTGAATTAATTTTAATGAAAAGTCTAGATTTTCAAACATTATGATGGATTAACAATAATAAATATATATTTTTTTCTCGCGGTTTGATGAATAATCATGTTATGTAATATTATAATAAGTAAATATACCTACATCCGTGCAGTTATTAGTGTGAGATTAAATTACATATTTTAAAGGTGAAGAATTTTGAATGTAAATTAGTAAACATATAAGACGTTTGGTTGACGAACGAGACTATTAGTCGAATTATCATTCACGAAATCGTATATTCGCTTCATCTTCGACGGTATTCATCGAGTCAGTACTGCAACATTAAAAAACTAATCGAGCATTCCGCGCGCGCGCGAAATTTCATTCCTATCAATAAAACCGTCGAGTTTATTATTGATCGCCGCGAGACTAGGTCATCAAGATGAGTCTCAAAAACGGGGCAAAAATGTCTCAACGTGAAAAATTCGAGTTAATTAATTCCGAAGTGCGTTCTTTTTACGAATATTGTAAGGAAGCTGGCATGAGCGATGAAGAAATGGATTTGATCTGTCGGCCACTCACAAATTCTGTGAGAAAAGCCACAATCAAACGTTGGACAAGGGTGGTTCTCGTTTTGATAATGGGAATAGCGATTGGATATACTGTTAGCCAGACGGATACCTTTAAATGGCATGCATCAGCCCTGGCCAGGATCGTTTTGATTAAATTGCTACCAGTGTGGGACTGGACACCTCTGTACCATAACAAGTGCATGATTGCGAGACCTGCGGAACCACCTAATGTCGAAGCAGGAGCGTCAACAACCGATTGCATAGCCTGTGAGGCAGTCAGTAAGTATTCTATTACTCACCTATTTCTTTTCGTTTACTTATACTTAAAGAGACACACATTTATTGGGGATTACGCTTGCATGAATTTTCTTACGTTACAGGAAGTACATAAGTTGAACCAAATGGTTTGGAAAATGTGCAAAGATTACTAAGTCGATAGATTTTACAAGCGTAAATGCCTAAGTAAATACAAATTTTGAGCATTCGCTTGGATTAAAAAATATTTTCCTTTTCTTTTTCTCAGATGTCTAGGATGACGGCCAAATGATTTGAAAAAGTCTTGGATTTGCATACGTAGCAGCACTAGCAGTGTCTAATTCACCATTTAGCTTTCAATTGATTAATCAGCACAATGTTACAATGATATTGTAGAAAGTGATAAATTTAAATGCTTTAACTATTTGTAAAACATGCGTATGAATGATTTATGGAGTCATCTTGTATGGTAGTAGCAGGCCCAAGTTTGTTGTTATTCGCAATTTGTCATTTTATATTCATATCATTTCATTTTCAGAAGTTTGCAGATTTAAAAATCTGAGTGATCTGTGTGACTTAAGAAACTTGATTTATTTAGATATTGTTAAACAGGTCTTTTATATTTTAATCTGCACTTCACTGACATTTTTGCACAGTATTTTTACAATAACAGACTTGGGACTCAAAGCTCAAATCTACGTTTACTTGTACGATTGTGAAGGCTCATTTGTAATGCTCTTGTACACAAAACTATATTTTTTCATTAACAACCGACGAAAAAATTTTACCGATTAAATGCAATTTAATCGTTGTGCACAAGAGCAAATAAGAGTAGACTGAAGTGGTTTTTATATCTATTTATTATTATAGTATTTTAGGTAGTAGGTAGTAATGAATATCTTCAAATAAATATCAGTACTTCAATTAAGAAATCGATTTTTAATTGTTTTAATGTAATTTTTATCAAAGGTTAAATATTTTTTTTACAATTTCATATCTTTACCGCAGTAAGAAGTAGAAAAAAGAAGGAAATGACTGCTATTTTAACAAAAACTTTACTTGAAGCTACTCTGTGGAACTAGGCCCAGACTTTGAAAATGATTTTAAGACAACCGAAAAAGCGGTTGTCATGTTATCAACTGACTAACACTCACTTTAAACAAATCTCCCTAAATAGGTAGAATTTCAAACTTCTGCAGCAGTTTTATTTAAATAAAATCAATTTCCATATAATTTGAATTATTGAGAAGCCTTTGCGTTCACCAAACATCTGTTGCTCATTCAATCGAATTAATTCGATTTCATTGAACCGAATTATTAGGGGTGACTCGAAAGTCCTAAGAACAAGGACCTACTGAAATGTTCACCGAGAATTTAATTTTTCCAGAAAATATTGCGCGCTTGTCCGACACGTCATACAACGAAGTATTCAACCACCACCTCCTGCGCGGGGCGCCGGTTATCGTCGTGGATGCCCACTACGATTGGTCCTCACGAGACGAACTCAACCTGACCGGCCTGATCAGCGACGATGACCGACTCCGCGACTCAGTCCCTTGTAGAATTCTTACCAACATAAGAATCGGACGACAACCCATGGACCTAGAAGAAATAGTATCTAGAATAACAAACACAGACATACCGAGTTGGTTTGTCCATTTCCAAAACTGCGATATTCGTGCAGTCAAATCCTTTAGGGTCCTAGCACCTAGGCCGTACTTCCTCTCCCCTCATATCCCTCCCTCGCACTTTAATTGGTTATTATTGTCAAAGAACTATGATACTCATAGATATAAGTATTTGGAGTTCGACATTGGATTGATAATCATGTCTCAATTGAAAGGCAAGTCGTTCGTGCAGTTACGGCCGCGAGCGCCTTGCGAAGATGACTGTTACACTCTCAACTTTGAGCTGACAGAAGGAGAGACCCTCGTGTTGGCTAATTCCCTCTGGGAGTTTGAATATTTACCGGGCAAAGGTGAAAACGTTGCCATGATCACAGAAACTGATTGGAACGAATCCTAATGCTCTTAGATAACTCGTGTTAATGTCCTCTGATGGTAGATAAATTAATGTCGGATGTGTACCAATTTTAATCGATATTTTGACAGAAAGTATCAAATTATCACAAAATGCATTTTTGCGTGTTTACAATCGATGAAATCGGTGCATATCTAAAAAATAAGCTAAGTACCTATCTACATATTATTTAAAATGTAAGGTGTTCAACAGTTTACGAGTAAGATATGATTATCTTTACAATGCAAGGAAATAAGAAAGTTGTGAAATTGAAACGAGACAAGCTAGATGTTAGTCTTTTTGGCGAATATCGCACAATATTGAAATAAGTAAATTACCTATTAATTTGACCCTAAAATATAATCGAAATACCTACCATTATAAATTTAAAGCAATTCTGTGCAGATTTAATCAAGAGAATCGTGTTTACAAGCTTTGGAAATAAATATTGAAATCCAAATGTAACGAGTTTGCAGAAAGATATTTTATAAATTGAATTATTGAGTTATTGAAGAACATGTCCACATATCAGTCATCATTAATATTTCATGATCACTTCAATAGTTTTTAAGTCAAATTGTACCTACTGAAGACGGGTTTATTGCGAATGTTATTATTACTTTAGCTCATTTAATTTGATACCTAAATAAACTTTTAGTTAATTAAAAAAAATTTACATCACTGTAGAACACGTTATTTTTTTACATAGCACCTAAAGTCAAATAGTAAATAATATTGTTATTTCTTCAAAACTGGCTAGAAAAATACGAATTATTAGTAAAATTGTTGAAGTAATTAATGGAAGTGTTTTTATAAGTATTACATACAAATAAAATTGTAATACGCATTAATGTACTGTGAAATACGGATGCCAATTTAACCTACATTGGTGGAATACACATCCCTACTTTGGTTTATTATGTTGGTATCTAAATGTTTTTTAAATTTTAAACTATTTTAGTCTAATAATACACCCGCCATCAGTACGTACATAAGCGTAAAATAAGATTAAATTATAATTGAACAACACACAATGTATTTTCTGCACAATGATATCGTAATATAGTTAGCTATGTAATAACTTCATCGGATTCCGACTCTGATTAAGTACCTCAAGTATTAATAATGATACATTATATATAATTGAAGCAAACTTGTTGTTTTATTTATACAATTCTATAGATAGGTAATTTATAATAATGAATGATAATAATGTACTGTGTTATTACCTAGTTTTACTTACGCACAGATTCACAGACAACTATTTTATTTTGATGTTCAAAAATAGGTAGGTACTTACATAATTTATGGTTTAGTTGGAATAAATGATTTTGACTTTGACTTAGTAGAATTCTTCTTCTTATATTAATCGGTCCCTCATATCTGAGGTTTGTGGCCAGCATTAGAGTAACATCTGGAGTGGATGATCCGTCTCCATCGGTTTCGATTCAAGGCATCTCTTTCCTTCGGTTTTTCCAACGATAATCAGTTTTCCAGACTTACATCGCCTCTGCGCCTGTGTAGCCGAAATAGGATAGAATAGAATGCGTTGTTGGCATATGTTGACAAGCGGGTTTTTATTTTGAGTCGATTCAGGATAGACAAATTGGTGCGTTTTGCAGTCTAAGGTATCTATTTGGAATAATCGTCTCCAGCACCACATATCGAATGCATTTAAAAAAAACTTTGCCCTTCACTAGGATTTTCTCCTGTATCGTGTGTGCGTTTACAAATACACAATTTCACATATACACCACACCTAGACCCGGAACAATAATTTGTGGATCACACTGAGAGTTGTTCCGTGCAGGAATCGAACCCGCGACACGTTGCACTAAGTGTCTGTGTTAGAGGGGGTAGTGATGGGACGACGGCCCAGGGTGACAAATTTTTGGGGTGCGCCAAGGTCAGAAGTTGGAGTCTCTTGCCTCTCCTGGTGCAAACTCTCAGAACTGTGCTCTACGCTCTGTGCATATGTATATTTTTTATATAATTTTTTTTAGAAGGATTTTTGTCGACTCATGACTCTTTTCCCTCAAGTATAGTGATTGAAAATGCTTTTTAAAACCTTAAGAAGAGCAATTTAATCTTTCTATCGTGGTAATTCGAGACACAATATAAGAACAACAGGTGTACGAACGCCGGCGTTCGCCTGGAGATTAATGAATTAAACACTGAAGAAAACAATAATACTTTATTCACAGTACATTAATTGTAATTAAGTTAACTATAAATAAATTTGTACTGGTTTATTCTGTCTTCTCCTTGTGGATGGGCTTGCCTCTGAACCACAGAAGCAAGTTCTTTAGAGATAAAACCACTGGGAACATTATTGGCAGGAAGAGTGGAATGTAGATTGCGTACCTGAAATAATTAAAGTTTTAATTAAGTTACCACATATAAAAACACCTATTCAAATAAATAATATAACTTTTTTTTTAAAGTTAGGTCTTGGAAGATTTTGCTTTTCAAGTTTCTTTATCTATACTAATCTAAATCTATACAAATGTTATAAATGCGAAAGTAACTCTGTCTGCCTGTCTCTCTTTTATTGTTTCTTTACGCCTAAACTACTGAACCGATTTTTTGAGAAATTTGGTACCCAGACATAGTTTGGAACTCGAGAAAGGACATAGGATAGTTTTAATACCTAAAATCTGCAGGTAGTCACTATTCTTCCCGAACGGAATCGCGGGCAAAAGCTAGTAGTATAATAAAATCCATTTTAATGTGTGCTATAATAACATTTCTCTCTAAGAATATAATATCAACTTTAGCTGGAAGTTGACCATTTCTAAATAAATGCTAGGTTATGTTAACTTTAATTGGACTGCAATGTTTTGCTCACCAGATGGCGCTAGCGTAGAAACTTAAGCTTTTCGTCCAATAGAAAATTTGCTAATGCACATACACAATAAGTTGAAATACCTTACTTAGTCCATTAAAATCGATCGAGATCGATGAATAAACGTACCTATAGTAATTTTTAATATTTTATTGTATTGAAAGGTCGAAATTATAGATTTTTGATCTAAGAAACTACCCAATTGTATTTCACCGTGTAGTTTGCAATACCTCTCGCAACTCGATGCTTATAATCAGGTGGCAGGTCCCTTTAAACGCAAAATACAGGAAAAACATTCAAAATTCCACTTACTTCTGGTCATCAGGAAAGTACAGTAGAGCTAAAAGACTAGGTTCCATGAACGCCGTTTCTGCAGCAAGGAAGGCGCTTTGCGACATGTTGTAAGCTTGAAGCAGGTCACCGCGAGCCATTAACTCGCTGGCACGCTGGATGCTCTCCACGGCCGAGTTGATTGAAGCGCCTACTTCATCGTTGATCACTATATTTGATATTTCACCTGGAATTGTTTGTTAATAAATGATAAGATGTTCCGGACCTTCACATCGTGCCGGCCTGAGACACCGTGTCATCGTGCGTCATCGTGCGCCCCACCAGCGCTAGGCGCTCGACCATACGCCGCGCGCCGGACCCCGACACTCTCGCTCACCGACCATTACTGTGCGCACATATCGGCCATACTCCTTTGTGAATAATACAGTCTTTATATCGAAAATAGGGGTTTTATTTAGTTGAGACCACCAGCAGCACAACTGGAGCTCAACACCCCAACATAAGATGATATAAATAGTAGTTGGTAAAATCCTTAAAAAACTGTTAGATTAACAAAATGTCGTGAAACTAAATGCCATAAACATTTTCTGACAGTCGAACCTTTGGGTGATGCTGAGTCATTTTGAATCATTGAATCATTTTTTACACCGCTGTTTCGGGACACAATATGTATAAGTTGTATAAGTCAGGGGGAAATCATCAAATGCCTTCTCCCGCCCCGGGTAAGGCGAGAGAGAGTGGGAGACGGCTTCCCAGCGGTCCTGGCCTAGTAGAAAGAACGGGGTGGTTTTGAGTCAGTTATAGTCTGACAGTCCCTCGCGCCCTACCATGGGCGAGTAAAAGTAATTTGATAATTTTCTTAAAAAACGTAAAATAGTAATATTCTATAAAAGTTTAGCTAACCGAGTAACTGCGCCAAGGACTGCAGTGTTCTCTCAGCGGAAGTGAGCTGTTCTAGTGTCCTGATGCGGAGCAGGTTGTCGATCTCCCACTGGCGTGGCGTCACTGAGCGGAGGGGTTCTAAGTGGGCCCCATTTACATGTACCTGCAAGTAAAACAATGAAATGATGAAAACTATGAAATATACATTTTTCATTGGAATACTTATATATTTTGTTAAACTTAACACAATCGAACTGCGAGAAGATCCCGAGTCGATGTCCTGAAAAAATTTAAAATATCAGCTGAAACCAAAATTTTGTCTTTAAGGGTCGACTGTTACAAATTTGAGAGGGCAAAACCTACCGGTTATGTGTTGGTTTATCTGTAATTTATTGTATTATTATATTTATTTTATTATTTATTTATTTTTCATTTCTTGCATAATGTAAAATGGCGGAATTAACGCTTTAGCCGTTCTCTACATTTGGGTGGTGGAGAAATAGAAGTGGTCGGTACAAAATTGGCAAAATACAACTTAAGGATTATTCCACATCGGTATTCTGTGAGGCCGTGGTATCACTCCGGTCGAGTCGACCCAAGTCGGTCGTGCCGAAGCATGGCTCTCCCATAACTTCTACCTGTTTGTGGTGTAAAAAGCTTACTTACCGCATCAGTAATCCCCAGCAGCTTCCTGAGCTGTGATATGAAGGTGCCCATGATGACCCTGACGTTGGGTTTCCAAACAGGGTTGGCGTCCCTGCAGTCGGCCTCGCTTGGCCCGCCCAGCACCACGCCGCCCCACTTCGGAGACATGAATGCTTGTACGTGAGATGCAACTTTTTTACCTTTGAAAAGAGATTGAGAGATATCGTATAGTGTGTTAGTATTACAGTAAGTTAAAGAACGACTGTCGACTTTTAATGGAATATAATATAAAATAAAATCATTTCTAATACACCAGACACCAGCAAATAATGGAGTCAGGTCAAAACTTTTGTGTCACTTGAAGTGTGGGAGAGCCAGGCTTCGGCACGAATGGGTCGGCACGACCGGAGTGACACCACGGCCTCACAGAATACCGGCGTGAAACAACAACAGCGTTGTGTTTCGCCATGTGAGTGAGGTTACCGGAGGCCCAATCCCTCCCCTTCCCGATCCTTATATCCGCAACCCCTATTCCCAAAAGACCGGAAACGCACTCGTAACTCCTTTGGTGTTGCGGGTGTCCATGGGCGGCGTCGATTGCTTACCGTCAGGTACTTAATCCGTCTTTTCGTTTGCCGACTTATGCCATAAAAAAAAACTTTTCGCGTTAATACCCGCGTTATTATATGTTGTAAACATGAAACGCGAAAATTCAAAAAGTTAGAGAGTGTCAGAGTTTAACTGATTAAACCCCCTCCCAACTCTCCCCCTCGTTCTTTCTCTTGCTCCAGGCTAAGGCCGCGGTACATTATTGCGCTTGCACTCCGGACCTAGTTTAAAATACTTATTTGCCGATATGAATTCTTCCTATTTAGACTAATCTTAAACTTTCAAAATAGACTTCGTTTCGAAATTGAAAATAAATATTTTGGGCTAGCATAAAATCATTATTATATCTATTGTACTCTAACTCCCTTTTCACAATCGCACTAAATAACATTAGAAATCATTATTTATTTACCATTCAAAGTTCAAAGACAAAGAGTGGGTATGTACTGTATGCAACATTAAATATACCGATCCATATTAATTAGGTATTATTATAAAATTATTATTAGTATACACAATAAACAACTACTTATATTGATTTCGGTTTATTTCACTTTTGGAATAAAAGTGATAAATAAACTTACCATCGCTATCGTATATGACTAGTGGCGCCCTCTCGCAGGGCACGGCGTACAAAGCGAGGTTGATGGTGGGCAGCTCGGACACATGCGTCGCCGTGCGTTCCTCCAACTTGGTCAGTAGGAGATGCAGCCTGTCTTGTCGCACGGCAAAATGGCGGCCCCAATCACTTGTGTCTTTAACCTGTAATTTATTATTGTTTTGTATTTGATATAGTATATTACTTTGATAATACTATTTACTTTGATTTCTTTTTTACTGCACGGTTAACGTAGTGGCTCCGCTACTGATTCCTGCACGGAACAATTCTTTCCACGATCTACAAATTCTTGTTTCGGGTCTGGGTGTCGGTCTTTCGATATAGGAGAAAATACTAATAACAAAAACTTATTTTTTAACTTTTTTGGTATAATGTTTTAGAAGTTTAAGGATTTTAAAATTGTGTAGTAGAAACAATATATTTTTTAATTTCATGTACTGTCGATAATATATTCACGTACCGAATAGATATTTCCTACTGCAAGTATTAGGAATAAAATCAATATTTTTGAAAAGCGCAAATTGACAGACACCTATACATACCTCTTTGGCTTGAAAATCGAAGTCCAGTAGATGGAGCCACTGTGACTTGAGCGTGAAGTTGTGTAGTACACTCAACTCGTCCACGAAGGATCCGATGTAGTCTGTGGATAGACAAGAGTACTTAATTAACCCTTGAAATACAGAAAATAAATATCTACATAATATGCAAGTGTCAGAGGGCCCTGCTTCGGTATGAATGGGCCGGCCGGCTCGTCCTGAATGATACCACGGCCTTACAGAATATTGGCGTGAAACAACATTTATGTTGTTTTTTGCCGTGTGGCGCCATCCTTAGGGGAAGGATAGGAGATCCTTCCCCTATTCAAGTTGAGGATTAAATCTCAAATAACCTTCAAGAATTCGGCAACGCACTTGTATTAACACCTTTTGGTAATACGAATGCGGATGGGCGGCGCCGATAACTTAAAATAGTAATATTCTATAAAAGTGACTTGAGCGTGAAGTTGTGTAGTACACTCAACTCGTCCACGAAGGATCCGATGTAGTCTGTGGATAGACAAGAGTACTTAATTAACCCTTGAAATACAGAAAATAAATATCTACATAATATGCAAGTGTCAGAGGGCCCTGCTTCGGTATGAATGGGCCGGCCGGCTCGTCCTGAATGATACCACGGCCTTACAGAATATTGGCGTGAAACAACATTTATGTTGTTTTTTGCCGTGTGGCACCATCCTTAGGGGAAGGATAGGAGATCCTTCCCCTATTCAAGTTGAGGATTAAATCTCAAATAACCTTCAAGAATTCGGCAACGCACTTGTATTAACACCTTTTGGTAATACGAATGTGGATGGGCGGCGCCGATAACTTACCATTAGGTAATCCGTCTGCTCGTTTGCCGACCTAAGCCATAAAAAAGACATATCTACAAACGCGTCCATCTACTCCTTGTTTATAATGGCTTCGTAGCTGTAAAACTGGAGGAAAGCTCGTAAAATGTGTGGCGCCCTACATTCAAGACTTGACGATAAAATATCGATGATGTCACTAGTTTTCAGACATAACGTAAGTAAAGTTAGCACGTAATTTAACACGAATAAAATGTGTGTATAAGCAAGCCATGATGTGAACCGGTCGAAGAATCCCTTCTCTTCTCGTTAATAGTAACTATCGTATACGAGTATATATAGAGCTTTTCTTAGTTGATTCACGTAAGTCGCTATTTTCCATAAAAAAAACAACTATCCTAATTTTCAGAAAAATCACAAATTGTACACATATCATCTACTTTACCAGCCTATAAGTGCCCACGGATGAACAAAGGCTCTTCTCATACGGAGAAGGTTTGAGCAGTAATCACTACGCTTGCTCAAGGCGGATTGGCGATTTAAAACTTCTAATAAAAAAATATAAGTCTAGTTTTATTCACGACGTTTTCCTTCACCGTATGTCAGTGATGTATAAACAAAACGTACACACATTGCTACTTACCAGTTTGCGAACCATGAGGGTTCATATGATGATTGAGATCATCGAGATCATCATGAGGGTTCATGAATTAGAACCGGAGAAACCATATGTAGGGAAAAATAATCTCTAAAAATGTGTAGGACAAATCTTACAAATACAATGCCTTATAACCATCGATCACTAATAAAGAACTAGATACACAATCAGTGACAAAAAAATGTCCTAACTGAAAGTCCACCAAACTCAACATCGCGGTGTAGTTTTAGTTTAGTACCACTCGAATGCTCCGACGGTAAACACGCCTCAGTGCTCGTTTAAAAACTGCAAAAAACACACATCTAAGACGCAAAAAAGGATGGAATTTCATATTTTCGTTAAGTAATAATATTATCATTATATAATTGTCATCATTCTATTTTAAATATTGATATTTTATTAAGAAATCAACTTTAAAACTTTTTCCAAATGAAATCGTATTCAAAAACCGGGGTTATAATGCACACAGTTTATAAAGACACTTATACTAAACGTAAAATCATTCTCTAGCATGACCACTTAAGTTGTTCGGTTTACGAGGATTGATTCTGTTCCGTTTATTTATTGTTTTTTTTTATTTAAAAATAGTTTTTATTTAATATTATACTTCTTTACTGTGTTTATTAAAATATGGGATAAGCAGATATAATGGATTTAATTTTAACTGCGGTAAAGACATTTTTTTTAGCTTTCATCAAAATCCCGTGCGATATGAAAAATTGACAACAATAACGCCAACATTTTCAGTACTTACTTTAGATATATATTCTTTTTATTATTTTACATCTTTTTTATTTGACTTCGAATTTGGAATATTTTTCAAAGTATACATATATACTTTAAAAAATATTCCAAATTTAGGAAGGATTAAAGAGGACGAAAATAATAAAAAAAATTATAACTATAATATGCATTAGTTCCATTGGTAAATAAATGAACAAACCTATAGAAAAGAATACTATAAGTAATGCGTTTTAATTTGCGTATTTTTTTTGATAAATTGTCAAAAGAAATATGAAAAAAAAAATATATTTCTTACGAGACATTTCGACTCCAATCATTCTTTGTCCTAGCGGTGAGCCGAAGTCGTTAAATTTTATTGATTATTTTTGACACTTTGTAAATTCGACTTAAAAACATGCGAATATGGTCCAATTTCTTATAATTTAGGCAAAAAATGTTTAGTTTTTGTACATTACTTTGTGAAAACAACTCTATGAGTTGCATTTAAGGTTTAATTCACATTAATGCATGTTTATTTCAAGTATAAGTACATAAATACAGTTGGCGACAGTTTTGAAGCGAACTTTTGTATGGGATTGTGTATCTAGTTCTTTATTAGTGATCGATGCTTATAACAGCAGATATTGAATCACTGAAACATTCAAAGCAACATACCTTCGACAGCATCACCTGCATCAAGTTCCACTTTCAGGGCATCAGGTCTAGGATGCGCTACAGACAGTACAATATGGTACCCTGCGCCAGGCGGGAACCTGGTCTGTCTCGCCGCATCAGCTGCCTCAGAACGCGCGCCTTCCACCACTGAAGTCTGGTAGACTACGTGTTTTAGGGCTTCGGCTACTGTGTTAGACGCTGTAAGTATAGAAATAAGACCACTGAGGATAAATCTACGTATTCAAATTGTTTATTTATTTAATAATTTATTAGCTACTGTCGCGCAGTTTCATATCATTGCATTTAATCGTAGCGTGATGTTTTAGCCTATAGCAGTCAGGAACATTGTAGCTATCTATCAGTGAAAGAATTTTGGCAATCCGACCAGCGGTTCCAAAGATTACCCCTACACTACCCTACACAACTTACAAATTTTACCCCTTTATAATATTAGTATAGATGTACTTACACAGTAAGTCGGACAAGAAAAAATAATACAACAATTAGGTACAAAGGCACAGCTTATTTCTTCTGAAATATCTTCCAGCAGGCCCGTTATGTTCATGGAAAGCGCTGATTGCTTACCATCAGGTAACATGTCTGCTAGTTTGCCGACATATTCCAAGAAGAAAAAATAATAATTTTACATGTCAAAACATGGCTATGTCACTATCCTTATTCAGTTGTGGAATTCGCCCAAGGTCAATGAAATACAACCACCGCCAATTCGAAGGGAACATGTTTCTTGTTTGGCAGGACCAAATATTGACTTACCCACGTAATGGATCATAAATCTCACAGGGTATACAGAATCTGTGTTGCTATGCTGTATGAGGGTAGTTAGGAAACTTCCGTTATATCGGAAGGGAGGAAGAAATGTGCTTGTACTTTTAGTTAATGACCACCTTTTTATTTGAGGGGAGAGAATCCTCAAATGACTTTTTCGTCCAGGGTTAGGCGAGAGGGAGTGTAAGTGTGGGAGAGCCAAGCTTCGGTTGCCACGGCCTCACAGAATACCGGCGTGAAACAACTACAGCGTTGTGTTTCGCCGTATGAGTGAGATTACCGGAGGCCCAATCCCGCCCCTTCCCCTATCGCTTCCCGATCCTTATATCCGCAACCCCTATCCCCTAAACGCACTCGTAACTCCTTTGGTGTTGCGGGTGTCTGTGATTGCTTACCATCAGGTAATTCGTCTACTCGTTTGCCGACTTATAGCATAAAAAAGACTGTTCTTGTCTAAAAGCCAGTTCCTTGGTTCAGACCACGGTATTTTATTGCGCTTATCCCGCAATATTACTACCTACGCTAGTGTTTTGTTTATTAAAAGGTATGTTGCTAGACTTACACCCAGATTCCGAAAGGCCGATCAATGTTAAAATCAATTTAACCTTGTAAAGCTTTTAAACTTGTCAAGTCATCTGATTGGTTGACTGAATTATCAACAACCAATCAGATGACTTGACAAGAGATTTAACAGGAGATTAGTTAATTTTAGCATTGACAAGCCTTTCAGAAACCGGGTGTTAATCTATATTTGGAGGAGAAACGTGTGAGGTTTCAGCTACTCACCCTTGGCATCCCTGAAGAACATGATCCTGTCTCCAGCCAGCCAGGTATCCTGGAAAAGTGGTTTCCTTTGCACCACGTAGAAGGTGTTATGCTTGGTCAGGTCGTAAACTGCCCCTACTTCTTCCACAGCTTCGTGCTCATCAGCCACGGCGTCCAAGGTCGAGAGCAGTTGCTTCGAAATCAAGGACTTTGTGATCTTGAGTTTCGTTACATCTGGATGTTAAGAATTGTTATATTTAAGGTAGGAAATCAGGTTTATTTTGGGAGTTTGATATTCTGAAGAGAGACAAGACTCACCGGAATCTTTAAAAGCATATTCTATTTGTCTGATTATCTCCGCAGCAGTGGCTTCATCATTCGCCAGCACTGTCAGTTCCGTGGTGATAGAATGAGACAGAGTATCGAACGAGCTGATCTTGTCATATGGCAGTGATACCCTGAAAGAAAAGAAAGGGATGTGTTGATTTTTTACCTGATGGCAGTGCATGGAAGGACAAACAGAATAAGTACCACTCGATAAGAAATGTGGTTGGACGACAAATTAAAAAAGCGCACTATTTATTTCAAATCCTACACGCAACAATAGGTTTTATCACTTGTTTCGAATCTGAGTGATGTGTGTTGGGAGAATCGTAGACATTTTTTTTAAACCGTTGCCCACTAGGATTTTCTCTGTGTTGTGAGGTGCGTTTACAAACATACAATTTCACATACCCAGACCTGGAAGAAAAATTTGTGAATCACACAAATAATTGTTCAGTATACCTACCTACCTACCAATACCTAGTTGGTTGCCCAGCCACCGCGCCAACCGTGCAGTCAAAGCGCGACATGCGCAGCGCCTAGTCTATTTTAAAAGCAATACGCACAGAGAAACATGCCTGTGCATTAAAAAAAATTCTTTTATTTTTTTTAACACTCGATATTAGGTACACTTCCTATAAAAACTTTCATACCTATCAACTCTTTATTTAACTGGGAATTAATACAATCTTGGTAAATAAAACTAGGCGACTATCTGTCTGTCTTGAAGCAGGGATTGTGTTACAAATGACCTCACAAAGTCATCAGTATCGTTTTAAATGAAGTAGGTAGTCTTATAGACGATATCAAATTCGGTGTCAGTAACAAATCAACATTAATACTTCTCTCTTTTACTAAGCACAAGACAAAGACCAAATGAACAAACTGTATGAAATAATAGCAGAGTTTATTCAACAGAATACAAAACTTCCGACATTATGTTCAACATTTTTAAAGAGAGCTACATGCAGTCATTGTTTATTGAAACTTCTGCTTCGAGTTGGAATTAGAAAATGTATTCGTAAAAATTCTTCCTTCATCAACAAAGCTAGGCAATTTCTAAATTGTCTTAGCTTTCACAAACAAATACACACACATTGAAGAATAAAAAAAGATGAGGACTCTAAAGAAAATAATTTATTTTAACATAAAGGACTTGCAATATAACACCATTGCGAGTAGGAGACAGGACAGACAGACAGAAAAAGCTAAGTGTGGGGAAGCCATAATTCGACACTAAGAGGTCGGCTCGACCGAAGTAAAACCACGGCCTCACAGAGAACAGAGGGCCTACCTACTACCTAAAGAGGGATGAAGCTATAATAGGTGTATAGCTCCATCCCTCTTTTTCGCCTGAAAGATTCACGCTTTAACACGTTGGAACAACCACAGCGTTGTGTATCGCCGTGCTGCCCAATCTCTAAATTTCCAAAACCATATTCCCCAAAATGGCAACAACGCACTAGTAACTCTTCCGTTGTTGTTGGTGTCCATGCGCGGCGCCGATTGCTTTCCACCAGGTAATCCAAACTAGCGTTATGTAATTTTTTCTCTACCTATTTTATTAAATAACGTTTTTCAAAATACTGAAACAGGGAATATTATTCCATGTCTACAGAGCAGAGAGCAAAAATGTGATTTAAGTGTATAATTGCGACGACTTTGCAAAAACTTCTCCGAACATAGTATCAGAGGTCAATCATAAAATAAAAATTGCACTAAAATTTTATCTTAGTATAAATAAATATATGTATGGAGAAAAATCGAACGCGAGGTTATCAGCGGGACATAGTGCATGATAAGTATGATCGTAAAATTTGGTTTATATTATATTAATAAACTGAAATTATCTGCCATAGGTAAAGGCCTGTTTGGGGTCAATTAAATGTCATGATTATTATTACGTTGTAACCTAATACAAAATCATAGTCAAGAGATGCATACATTCGGTAGTTTCCAACTAGTCAAATTCAATACGTTTATCAATGTCATTCATTAATTATATATTTGTATAAAGACTGAGTTATGACGTCATAGTAATTTTGCGTCAAATAGCTTACTTATTTCTTAATAATAAGCTAAAAAATATCTAAAACTTAGTGTATCGATCGATCGATGAATAAAAGTAAAGTTATTTTTCATATTTTATTGTCCTAGTTAAAGTTAAAAAAGTTAGTATTTAAATGTCGAATAATTTTTATTGTCCTAGTTTTATTATTAACCTAGATTTATTATTTTTGACCTAGGAAACTACCCAATTATTATTGTAGGAGTATACAATTATGTGAAATAGAAGAAAGACTAAATACAAATACTTAACGTTTTTAAACAAAGAAACAAACAAATGAACGAAGTTTTAATTTTTGTAAATAGGCCATAAAACAGCACTTTAATTCATAGTAAATAATGTACGATGAAACTTTATGTTCGTGCGAATAAATAAAACATTTAAAATGAAGATTGGGCAAATTATAGATACAACTAGCTTCCGCTAGAGGCTTAGAGGCACGCGTATAAAGTCGGGATTTAAACAAAAACCAGAATTTAAAGACATAGTTCGACTAAAATACGCAAATCAAGTATAATTTATAGCACTTAGAAACACTGTTGCTATCTCATCATCATCATCATCATCAGCCTATAAGTGCCCACTGCTGAGCAAAGGCCTCTTCTCATACGGAGAAGGTTAGAGCATTAATCACCACGCTTGCTCAATGCGGGTTGGCGATTTCAAACTTATAATTAGAAATTATAAGTCCAGGTTTCCTCACGATGTTTACCTTCACCGTATGTCAGTGGTGTCTAAATAATCATAGAAAGTACATATAACTCGGAAAAAGTCATATTGGTACTTGCCAAGTTTCGAACCCACGCCCTCATACATGAGAAGCGGGCTCCTTAACCTCCGGGCCACCACGACCACATGTTGCTATCTATTAGTTAGGATTTTGAAAATCTGACCAGCGCATCCAAAGATTACTTCTACATACAAACTTACAACATTTACCTCTTTACAATATTAGTATAGATTGTAAAATTGTAAAAAAAAATGTATGCAAAAGTCCAATTTCCATTCTTAATTCAAATTTTTGCCCTAAGTATCAACCTTATTGGTTGATTTAATTGGGTGGTCGTCGCGTTGGCAACACGTGCGCATTTGCGTTGTATTAGAACCACAAGATTCTAGAGTCAGCTGTTCAGTTCCACGTGGCATGTGGTAATCTTTTAATTGGACCTTGTTTAATTAATTATACAAGTAAACAACTACATACTTAGTTGTAGGAATGTGATTACTTACATATTTTCTTTATATGTAGAAGTTATTCGATATTAGACTTTAAGTACTAACATGGAGCTAGGAATTTCATTAATTTAATGGTTTTTTCTAACGTGGATAAGGACCGTATTTGTATATAGCAGCTGTACGTATGTATGCATTTTGAAAAAGATTACGTTTATTTAGTGTTTTATCCGTAGGTCTACAAAGTCTTTTATCGATCGAAGAAATATCATCGAATGATTTCCCGCGTCCTGGGTGGGGCACCTAGGTATTGTCAGACTTTTACTGACTATAAACCGTTGCATTTGTTAATCCGGACCGTCCAAGGTAAATAATTGCGCTTGCTTTCACAACCCCAACAGCAAAACTAGAGTTAAGCAGTGGATTGTCAGAGCTACTGATTGTTAACCTTGTGCCTCACTCACAAGGTTAACAATCAGTAGCTCTGGCAATCCACTGCTGAACCGAAGGCATATTCCTCCACTTCTTTCCGTCTCCACTCCTTGAAATGTCAACAATCCCAAATGAATGGCAACGCATCTAAGTCTCGTTAGTCCATGAACAACGCCGATTGCCAGACCATCAAATTAAAAAAAAAAAACTTTGCACCACACTAAGATTTCTCATATATGTCGTGGGTGGGGTGCGAATCACATCGAACCCGACACTTTGCGCGACATCCAGTTGGTCAGTCACCCATTCAACCGTGCAGCCGTCAGTTGATACATCTGCTCGTTTGCTACCCTACTTTATATAAAAAACTAAGGATGAGATAAGTTTACTTATCAATGTCTTTAGAGAGAGATGAAGAGAGATTCAGATTTCTAGCTGACAACTTTTATCTAAGATTTATCCACGATGGTGCAATATTCAGAACAGAGAGAGAAGCCGCTAGAAAGAGGGATGGAACTATAAAAGGCGTATAGCTCCATCCCTCTTTCTCGCCCGGAAGATTCACGCTTTGACACTTCAAGGTAGGCCGGTCAGGACCTACTGTAAGAAAATTTTGGTTCAAAACTATTCAGTACGATAGTTACCTGTACACTTCCGTAGTCTTCCACCAGAGAGGGAGTCCAATGACGATGAGTACACCCACGAAGGAAGCACTCGCCCACATCCGATTGGACTCTGTAATAAAACATGAAAATTATAAGTTGATAATTTAATTTATATGAATAACCACGGAGTTTAGAATGGGCAAAAATGTTTTCTCGAAATTTGTTATTCCATCAGGTTTTCTTTGGATAACGGCAGCAAGCATAATAATGTGCCGTGGGTCTGTCCTGCAACAGGAGAAGGTTGACAAAACACTTTCTTAAGAAGGAACAGTATTACGTTTTCGTGTGCTCGTTCGGTCCAAATTAGACACTCGTACTACCAACTAGTCGAAAACGGAAACTTTTTACGTCAACTTGTAAACGTTCATCGTCTTGTCGCTATGGAAACTCATACTTAGGGTACAGAGGGCCTACCATGACGTGTTAAAGCGTGAATCTTTCAAGCCGCAGGTAGGCCGACAGGAGCAGGTTCCTTCTCCTGCTCAAGGCCGAGGCCACGGTGCTTTATTGTAATGGGGTGTTTTTAGAAAGTAAGAGTATGAGACTCTCTCTCTCCCTCCACTCAATGCGTAAGAAGTAATTTGATGACAATCCACCCTCAAAAAAGTCTTTACTGTTCCTTTTTTTTTATTTAATAGGCCGGCAAACGAGCTGACGGATTACCTGATGGTAAGCAATCAGCGCCGCCCATGGACACTCGCAACGGAGGAGTTACGAGTGCGTTGCCGACCTTTTAGGGATTAGGGATTTGGAGATTTAGGGATTGGGGGAGGGGAAGGATTGGGCCTCCGGTAACCTCACTCACACGGCGAAACACAACGCTGTGGTTATTTCACGCCGGTTTTCTGTGAGGCCGTGGTATCACTCCGGTCGAGCCGACCCATTCGTGCCGAAGCATGGCTCTCCCACACTTAAATTTCCATTCAAGTGTTTAATATGAAAATTTGATCTTATTATTGTATTAATGTCTAAACATTGCACATTCGCTTGTATTGTTGTTCGAAGACAATGCAATGGAGTCTCCGTCGTCACAATGAGCAATGAAAACATGCGCGTACGCCTACTGAGAAACGAATGTAGCCTACTGGTTGTTATATGTTATACAACTGTTATTGAAGTGCGTCGCCAAACGGTATTGGAGTTAGACAATGTATTATTAGATGTTATATTCAAAGCTGTCACAATCTGAGACGATACTTAAGTGCCTAGTGTGACTGTTAACACTGATTCCTTTTGACCGCCATAGTCGGCTCTAGACGGCAAATGAAAAATAGGATATTTCGCCAATGTTGAGCATAGCCGAACAGAAAACGTCATTATTAATTGGTATGGCACGGCCAAATCAAACAGTTGCCGCGCCACACAATCTTAGTAAACATTACGCGAAATTGGAAAAAAAATCGCAAAAAACATAACACACACAAAGATTTTAATAATTTATAGAATCAGGCGTAACTTTGCGGGAATCCATGACATTAAATGTTAGGAAAAATATTTAGTGTTTATTCCGCGACAAAAATCCAGGCTTGTTGCAGGATGCAATCCCACTCCTATGCAATAATGCATTTGCACATGCAGCAAAGGTCCCACCCAGATGTTGACTCGACGCGTCGAGTCGCCTCTTGCTCTAGGCCGAGGCCGCAGTGCCTTAACATCAGCCCTATAGGGCTCGTCTGTGGTTGTCTAATGTAGCGATGTTTGACTCGTGTATTTGTTAGAGGAATTTACCAACTTTTACGTCAATATAGGTACATTGTGGAATACATAAATAACTACAATATCAAAACTTTGCACCTAGTTGCTACAACAAGACCAAGTCAGGCAGTGCAATTGAAAACAAAATGCGTTCAATGTCTGAATGAAATTCAAGACTTTTACGACGCACGTAATGACGTCGGTGTTTCTATTAAAACTCAGTGTTAAATTGCCCTCAATCAACACTCGTTCTCATGATTAACACCTGACCCCCGTTATTGAAACATACACACGGCTCCATCACCAGGTCACTACAACCCTGGCCAGGAGAAGATGGTGTGTAACCAGAGACCAAGTTATATTGGTTACATTAATGTGCCACGCCCATAAGTTGTATTGAAATAAATAGCACTGTTTTATTGTTTGTTTGAAAAAATAGATTGATTCTTTGACCTATTTTTCTGTTTATAGTTCAGTACTTATGTGTTCAGCTATTTAAATGTTAAAAGTTCTAATTTTATTTGTGACACAAAGTCATACAGCTTGATCGCGCAAGTGAGTGAGTAAGGTTAGTAACACTATTTGTAGCCCATCCTTCTTCAGTTCCTGAATCTCTAAAATCCTTATCCCCAAAAGGCCTGCAAAGCACTTGATGTCTATGAGCGGCGCTGATTAGACATTAGGCTTATTATTTCGGCATTCAGAGCCCTGGAAAAAAGTAAATAGGTTTTCTACTTCACCTCTTTGAGGAAAAAACAATAAAACAATATTTTTGTATTGTATATTACGTCGTAACTCGATGTGTCAAGAAATTCCATCCTAATATCTAGGTAAATGTGTAAGTCAGTCTGGAGAACCTAAGTGTTTATCCTCATGAAACGTATTCAAAGTTTGATTCAAGTAACGGTCATAATATTCATTCTTTCAATGTTTTTAATAACAAATAATAAGTGACGGTAAGTTCCATATTGAAAACCACATAAGAATGGTAAGTTTGAGGTATCTAGTGGCTGCGTATCAACGATCGCGTTGTATGCTCGACAGCCAAGCCGGGGTTGCGGGTTAAGCGTAATGAGTCACCGTGGCCTCGGCCCAGAGCAGGAGAAGGAACGGGGGTTTTTTAGTCAGTAAGAGTCTGACACTCCCTCCTGCCCGACCTGGGCGGGAGAAGTCATTTGATAATTTTCACCTAACAAAAAAAGGCTCGACAGCCAAACGTAATAAAACTTTGTGTTATCCAGAAACAGTAGTAAGTACCTACCGCATAGGAAGTTTTTTTTGAAACAATAAACATCATTGATAAGGTTCACATAAAGAAAACATAAATCCGAAAATATCACAATTACTAACTAGATCAATCCCTGTAGTATTTGATCCAGCGTCATGGTGCTCAGCCTAAACAAGGCCCAGCTCATCATTAAGCAACGTACTAAGATATTATTAGGAATATTATCAAAAAAATATTATTAGGAAGATAATATTAGGAAACAATGTCCGAAAACCGCGACTCACTACCAAATAACTAGCATCGAAAATAGCCTCTGAAATTTCGGTGACCTTACTACGATTCTTAAACAACTGCTAAAAAGTGTGAGACTCCATGAAAACTCCTTCTTAAGAAAGATACTGTTAGTCAGTAGAGGACGTTATATGCTAGTGGCAATGAAGATGATGATACGAAGTTGACTATTTAAACTACAGACTTCGTCCATCAAACTAAAATAACCTGAATCGAATAGGCAAAGACAATGTTATTATACATTTAACTCTCAAACATGTATTGTTCTTCAATGTAATAACCGTCGAGAAATATCCATCTAATAAGTACGTAGTAGTAATTGGAATGCCTAATAAACCTAGCGGTTTTAACCTCATCTAGGTCACATACGTGATCTAATTCACTAGGTACTAAAGCACGAATGGCTTACGAGTATGTCTTTATTCCCCGAAGGCGTAGGTAGAGTAGGTATTGTCGTGGTGGCCCGGAGATTAAGGAGCCCGCTTCTCATGCATGAGGGGGTTCAAAACCTGGCAAGTACCAATGTGACTTTTTACGAGTTATATGTACTTTTTATGATTATTTAGACACCACTGACATACGGTGAAGGTTAACATCGTGAGGAAACCTGGACTTATAATTTCTAATTATAAGTTTGAAAACGCCAACCCGCATTGAGCAAGCGTGGTGATTGATAACTCTAACCTTCTCCGTATGATAAGATGCCTTTGCTCAGCAGTGGGCACTTATAGGCTGATGATGATGATGATGAAAAATATTGATATATTTCTGATAGTATAATCGCTTCTTTGACGGAATTGTGGCGTGCCATAAAGTACCGTGGCCCCGGAACGGAGTAGGAGAAGGACAAGGAATGGGGTAGTTTTTAGTCATTCCCTTTCCATTCTCATCATGCCCATTTGAGTCCTAATTAGCCCAAAAGGCTGGCCACTCACTAGTAACTCTGTTGCGAGTGCCCATAAGCTTCGATTGTATACCATGAGGTAATCTGAGCATTATACCATAAAAAAGGTTTTTGTTGAGTTTGGCAAAGTAATATCACAGATGTATGACATGATAGACACCTGTCTGAGACATTAGTAAATATTTTTTTGGCATTTGTGGCCCAGACGAGCCGCCCAAATAATCCGAATGATGACTTGTGTAAAGAAGAGTGAGATAAGTCTGATAAACCACGTGCTTTGCGAGAGTGAGAGAGCAATAACCGCATAATATAATAATATAAGCCGTATTTGGATATGTAATTATTTGAGGATGTTTTGTATACATAATTAACCAAGTAAGAGTCCCAGACAATACCTCGTGTCTCTTGTCAAATACGCCCAGTTCACAATAAATTCTTTGCACCATTGAGGCAACACTATCTGTGCCCTAATCCATGTTCAATTTTGTGTTTCATACGAAATAACATAATTCAGTAAATACTCTGACAAGATTAACAAAAAAGTTTCAAATAGATATTTCAACAAGTCACAAGAATGCAGTCATATATTTTTTTCACCACAATAACATAAGTATCTTCCTTATTTACTACTGTTGTGAATAATTGTGAGATTTCTCATCGAGACGTGATTTTCCACAATGCAATACCTACATAAATAGTAAAAAAGTAAGAATTAACTCAAAATTGAGACATCTTCTTCTCCAAAAAATACTATAAGAAACATCGTTATGAAAAATACTCAACCAAAACTCAAAGATCAAGGCCTCACATCCAAACTGATGATGAAGATCTAAACAAACCTTCCCAAAAAGATGTGCCGTCAAGTTTAATATACGGGCAAATATGAAAATATTTAATGGAGCATTACATTTAGACGTTATCGTGACACGCGAAGTACATATTGTTTGAGGAG